TCATAGAACATTTTCAAGCCTAGATCATTAACACTGCCAGAGCTAATAATAATTAACATGCTAAAATCCATGCGATAAACTGGAGATTTTACCGGTGTAGTTGGTAGCAACTGTAGTGTCAGCATGAACTGATTTTTCTGAGAACAAAGTAAAATGTGACTCAAAAATAATAGTGGAGTTTTAAAATTAATTTTAGAGAAATATGTATTATTTATTATATGGCTCTTCTAATCAATAATACATTTGTTGAATATAATGACAATTATTCTTCTGAATAATAGTTGTATCACCACATTAAAGTTACAGATTATACCTCTAAGAGTGGGCAAAGTCCTTTAAAGATGCTGTTAAATTGTCACAAACTCCTGGGCAAAAATCTGGAGCAGGGTTTATAGTGCCTACTCTTGATAATTAATGGCAAAGGCATCTGCTAAATCACTGCGAGGAAGAATTTTAAGGTATCCATGTGCAGTAGAGTAGGGAGGAACTCCACTAAATAATTAGGCTCAGTCATATATCTCAAGTCCAGTTATGAAATCCCCAAAGTCAAGTTTTTAGAGAGAATGCGAACTGAGTTGCTGTTAGAAATGTGTTCCTTCATTTAATACAGATTTATTTGACACTAGCTGTAAAGACTGCTATCATTCAAGGAGGCTCAGGATGATAAAAGATAAAAACCCTACTCTCCAGAATTACTGGATATTTTTATTTTTAAGATAAAATTAATATTTTAAACTTCCTGTTTAATCAGTATTACTGATGAAAGCCAGTCGAGTTCATGCTGCCCTAAGTAACCATGTGTGCAAGATCTAAGTACTCCGAAGAATAATTCAATGAGCACATTTGTTATTAATTGCTAATCACTAAGCGAAGATGACTTTCAAAATGCCAGCTTCTTGATCCCTGCTTCTCCTTCCCACTATGCTTGGTGGATCCAAAAATACAGAGTAACTTGGATGTTCAAAGTGGGAGTAGCTTTGCATAATAGCTACTTACTTAGTTCAGTATAACAAAATAAAATCAGTCACAAGGATCTAGGTTCTCCAATTATTGGTACTACCTATGATCATTTTATAATTTTATGCAAACTATATGATAATATAACAGGAGACCTCAGGCATGACTTTGCTAGAGAATAGGAATGTTCAGGCCTAATTATTGGCCAGTTTGCTCCTTATTCCCCCTTTTTTTTCCTCCAACACCCAAATCCTTTGGGTTTTCTACTTATTACCCACATAATTTAATGGTTGGTGTTTTTGTGCTTTGTGTTCATTTCCACCTTTTACTATCTTTTTTTTTTGTAAAAGTTACACATTAATCATTATCTAAAGTGTTTCTTTTACTAGCATGGAGTTTTTGTTCAAAGATCTGATAGGAATTCTTCAAAAGTGAACTTTTTGTTTTTTCCTATTTAAGGTTTACTTCAACAAGTTCACTGATTTTAGATTTCTCTGACAAACATAGTGGAGGTACCAAACCCAGACATGTTGGAAATAGCTTTTTCTTGAAGCCATTTAGAATCTGAGACTTTCTGCCCTGCTATGTGAAATTACCCAGCTTGGGAATAAGATGGGTATGTGTGCATGGCTGTGTAGGAGAGGTGGTAGGAAGTGGGGACAGGGCAGGGGGAATGGTAAGTCATCTATAAGTGAACTCAGAATGTCTTCTGAAACGGATATGTATACGCTCTCCTATTTCCCCAACTGTCACAGACACTTCTATCTCAACGTTTGTAATAAATCAATGATGGTTTTTCTCTGTTGCTTTGGTTAGATATCTCCTTTCAAAAATCATTTTCCTGGAAGATAAATGTAGTGTTCTTTTTGTTTCCTTTTTTGATAAAGAATACAGTGTGCAAGTGTATACTTAAAAATCATTTTCATTTTCTCTTATGGATCTCTCTCTTAGAAAAATAGAACTCTCTCATTTTAAATAGTATTTGTTGGATCACAGAAGTTTAGAAATTGGTAGTGGCCTTAGCTATTATCTTTTTTTAAAAGCCTTTACTTTATAGATAAAGAAAATGAAGCCCAGGGAAGCATCATAGATTGAAGGTGGCCACAAATCTGTTGTTATTCCTCCCATTGAGAAGTGGCATCTCATGCCCGCACCTGCCGCCCCCTCCTAGTGTTTGGGCAGGCTCTGTGATTGCTTTGACCAATAAAACCCAGAGGAAACCTGTCAATTTCTGTCCCAGGCCTTAAAAGAATGGCAGCTTCTACTTTCTGGGTCTGGCATGCTCTTAGGACTTCTCATCTTAGAACCATGTATTGGTGCTCCACTCACCATTCACAGCTAAGCTCCTAGAGGACAGCTAACATCACTTTCAGTTATGGGAATGTGCCATCTTGTATGTCTATCCTACTCAAACATTTGAAGGGGTACATTCTCAGCATATCCTCCCCTGAGGGGAGAGAGAGGTGGGGGAGAGAGGGAGGGAGGGAGAAGGAAGAGAGAGAGAGAGAGAGAGAGAGAGAGAGAGAGAGAACCCAAGATAGAAGCCAGTGTGTTTCATAACCCAATCTCAGAAGTGACATACTATTGGACACACATACTAGCCTTGGAGAAGAGAAATATCAAAGGGATGCCTCCTGTAGGTGCCTGAACCGAGAATCTACCCCACAATATAGATAAGTGCCCTGATCTAGAATCGAACGCACAATATTTTGGTGTATGGGACAATGCTCCAACCAACTGAACCACCTAGCTAGGACACCAGCCAATATTTAATAGCAATCACGTGAGAGACTCTAAGTGAGAATAGCCCAGCTCTGCCCAGTCAATGCACAGATCAGTGCGAGAATGAATAATACACTAAGTTTGGGGGTGATCTGTTTGGTAGTAAAAGCTAAGTGGAACTGAAAAAGAAATTTAGACCAGCTTCTAAATAGAAGTGGAAGACTCCAATTCTAGCATAATCTTAAAAAGTGTTAAGGGTACATGCAGACTTAAAGTAGACCCAGTCTCTTAGTAGCTCAAAATTCCAAAATCTTTTCTTTCAATGATTGCATAAAACACATAATTTTCAAAACTCTTAAACATTTAAAGCAGACACTAAAAGCTCTGCCTACATAACAAAAGACCGTTATTAGGTAATAGAATAAGGAAGCATTATCAAAAGTTCCTTGAAAGCATTAACTTAGTAATAAGTGAATGAAAGAAAGAGTTCCTTAAGTAAACTCATTTGAGGAAATCCTGACACATTAGAGATGTCTCTTGAACTCTAGATTTTTCAGAAATGTAAAATATCCAAGAGAGTAAACTTCCTTTCCCCAAATTGTGTGATCAAAGAGTCCTCCTTCACTGAGCACCTCATGAGATTTCTATTTCATAGAAACACTAAACTAAGAAATAGAAATAGGGATGCAACTTTATTAGCAGAAACTAACTTTTACTTTCAGGATATTTCACCAAAAAGTTGCTTTTATGCCCTCATCTTAGAGAACACATTTTTAGTCAAAACTTTTACAAATCTTGGGGGGCTACACTCAGTTGGGTCCCTTTCACCACCTGCTCCCTCTGTGCTGCTCTCTTACTTTGAACACTTTCCTGTTGAATTAGTGAATACATATTGGAGGAATAAAGATAAGAAGGAATAAATAAAAGTAGGTAAATGATAAATAAATGGACTAATTAGTTAAAAATTGCAAACCTGGAAATCAGCTCTGACTCTAATTAACTTGGTTTGGATTTTGTACCTTTATTTCCATATAAGGCCAAGGGAAATTGTAACCTTGCCCTGCCTCATGGAATTCTTGGCAAGTTCAAAGGACATGTCAAAGTTGAACGTGGGGAAGATTTAGGTCTGATGTGTTCTTAGCAATCATCTATTTATCAACTCCTTGCATTTTTGAGATGTGCAGGCTGGGATTCAGAGAACTTATAGTACAAGTGCTAGCCACATTAGAAACTCCCTTGCCAGTGGACCCACATTAAAGAGGTTGGTAAAGCCCTCTATATTAGTACATGCTATATCGAAAGCTGTGATTCTAATCCAGATGGTGACTATTTCTAACCAAGGTTTACAAGCAATTTGGGCCCCGAAACACATATTACACCAGTGTTCACAGCCAGTTTAGGAAGGTGTGACAGTCTAAAACTTTAATAACCAGTATGGCATGGGCACTGACAATGACAATAGACACTAGCCTTCACAATTGGTACAGTCGTACTGATGGGCACCAGCAGTATATCTCTCTGGTATAGGGATGTGGTCAATCACCTTTATTCCTTCCTGCCACTGGTTCCCAGCCCTGTGAAGACTGTCACATTACCTGGTGTTGGAAATTCTCCCAGTCAGGCTCTTTCTTATACTGTGACGGCATTTTGATGCCCATAATACAATAGGTTCCATTATGTGTCTCCTGGGAATCACCCAGCCCTTCATGGTTCCTGGAACATATGCCACCCTGTCTCCCAAATCATGGAGCATTTCAATGTTTTTACTTTATAAGTAGGAGGAAATTAAGTTTTATCATCTCCTCTTGCCCCACCTAAGACATGGACCAATCCACTAAACAGTACTTAATTACTCTGGAACCCTCTACCTCTATATATCCTACGTTCTTCTTCTATAGTCATGTTATATAGTGGAATATTATTTGAAAAGCTGAAGGAGTAATTCAGCCATGAAAATATATGGTAGAAAAATTAGCATGAGATAGAATATTTGATACTTTTAAGTTTTAATGGAATAATATTTGTAAGGATAGAACAAAGTATCTGCATTTAACCAGCTTATTTGTGTAGCTCTGGAAAAAAAAGTCATTTAAAAATATTGATTATAGTTTCATAGCTCTTGCTAAATAAATTGCTCATTTTCCCAGCCAATGGGGAATGGTTTATACAGTTTGACATATATACCTCTATATTACCTTGGCCCAACTCTGCTCCATTGGTAATAAGTTCTTAGATGTTATTTAAGTTTAATTTGATTGTAAATGGGGAATGAAGGCCTCATTCTCCCATATGTAGAATAGTTAAAATTCTAGTGCACTTACTTCTACAAGCCTGTTGGTGTGTTCACGAAATATCGCAGCATATTCTTTTATTTCCTTTTCTCGACCATTCTTGGCAGCTTCGATGAGAACCAAAAGTGGGACTGTCGTATCCAGAAAGGAGTCTGACACATGATCTATAATAGCCTTACGGAGCTGAGAAGAAACAGAAAATTCATGCTTTTTTAAAAATCAGGAAATAGTTCAGGTTATTTTGTAGTTTTACAATCTCAGTAGCTACAAGATTTTATATATTTTTTGCACAATCCCAAAAGTCATGTTTATGACTGTGTATGTGTGTCACTTACAAACCTAAAACAAGCCATATTTTTAAGAAAATATCATCGAGCAATAACTCCCTTGTTCCCAAAAGTCACTAATTTTTTCTTTAATTGTATTTATCCCAGAAGTCAGATTATCAGTGATAATACTTCATTTTTTCCTTCAAGAAATTGACCTATTATAATGTTCATGCACATGTACAAACAACATTGTACATCATGTATTTTCATAATTACAAAATTATGAAATGTTTTCTACCTTGTTGGAGGAACTGATAAATTTTGATTAGCTAAATTGTAGACTTCATGGTAATTAAACCAAGTTAGATCACTGATTATGCCAGTTGATAATAGATTAATAGAGCAAAGAGAATAATAAATGAGTGTGATGTCCAATTTTCTTCATTTGCATTAATTGTTCTTGCCCTCACACCTTAAATTATTAAACAAGTGTAACATTCTGCTACAATTAGTTCCTTTAAATTAGATTACGTATAAGCTTATAAATGACAATCAGGCAATTACTCTACTCAGCAGATAGTTCCAGGAATTTAAAACTGCATTAGAAAATTAATAAATGGAATCTATATAATATTGAAGCCTTAAGGATCACAATATCATGAAATGTTTCATTAACAATTTCAATGAGTATGAATGCCCCAGAGTTTTTTGATCACCTCCTCATTTACATTAATAATCTCTATACAATAAAATATAGAAGTGAATTCCTATTAAACAGGAAATTTGTAATTTGCCTTTTGTGAAAATTATATTTTAGGTTTTATTTTTTTTAAACCAATAGATACTTAACCTAGTTTTGGATTACATGAGACATAATAATACACTTTAAAGGGGTTGAATGATGTAGCTACATAAAAAAGAGTGCATTCTTTCATTTAGAAAAATGAATTCATAATAATTATAGATTTCTGAGAGAAAGATACCTCTGCCTAAGATAGTCGAACTTGCTCAGAACTGTGAAATTTTCCGGCTACCAACAATTTCACAAAGGCTGTAGGAAAAATTCTATTTAGTATGCAGAAAGGCAAATCACTAATGACAACTAATTAATATTTACTGAGCACTTACTAGGACAGGTTGTAGAGTACTAAGGGGTTACAAGGCAAAGAGAGTGAATCACCCATGTCTTTGACTTCCATAAAGAATGAGCCGAGGCAGTCAGGCAAGAAATGATAAGTTAGCACTTGAACTGGGAACTACGAGTAGTACTAGTTCCGGAGACATAAAAGTAGAAGGAATCTCTCAGAAGGGGAACTGTTTTAAGCAACAGTCTCTCCCCTTCATCCTTTTCTTCTTTCATTGTAACCAGGACATATAGAAGGAGAGAAAAAGATCAGCACTACAGGTATGCAATTGAAAGCCATCAAACATATGGGAGGCAATTTAAGCCAAGGAGGTGGACAGGATCATAGAGAGAGATATTCACAGTGAGAATATGTTAGAAAATAAAATCCTAGGAAATCATAACATTTGCCAGGCCGGTGTAGCTCAGTGGGTAAGCGTCCAACGTATGGACCAGGAGGGCACAAGTGGTTCGATTCCCCAACAGGGCACGTGCCTGGGTTGCAGGCTGGATCCCCAGCAGGAGGCAGCCGATCAATGATTTTCTCTCGTCATTGATGTTTCTATCTTTCTCTCCCTCTCCCTTCCTCTCTGAAATCAATAAAAACATATTTTAAAAAAAGAAATAGTACCATTTATGGGATACATTTCTACCAAGAGCAAGGTTGTGAAAAATGTCAAGGTGGAACTGCATGTTTCTTTATAATGCAGTGGAAAAGTGAGTCATTAAATATTATAATAAAGGAAGTTAACTAGGAGACTGACAGCAAGTAGATTTCAAGAAGATAATAGGCTTCCAAATCTAATTTTAAAGATAAATTAAATGAAAATAACCAAGACTTGTCTATTGGATTGGACCACTAACAAGTCCCTGCTGAAAATTTAGAGTAATCCTGGAAAAGTTGGAGCAGGTTTTGCTATGATCTGAAGAATAAATGGGAGACAAGGGTGCAGAGACAGCGAGAATAAACTTATGTTTAGTAATTTGGGACATAAAGAAGCAAGACTTGGTATCAACTATATCAAGACAGTTTTAAAGAGGGATTGTTTCTCATACAAAAGACTTTGATGTTTTTCCCATCTGCAACTATATGCAGAAAGTCAAATTGTCCTCTTGTGCTTTAAAAACAATATTTTGATCTATCATCATACAAAAAATCTAGGGAGATGAATAACAATTGTTGCACATTGTGCCAATTTTTGTAAATACTTAAATACATAATTATAACAATATTCTTCCAGGGCTGCATCCATTTGCTATAGTCTGTTCCTCTCCCTCTGTGATACTACCTTTTGTCTTACCTTCATTTTAATGGTCTTTACTCCCTGTTCCTTCTTTTTATTATTTTTGAAGGTTTTCAACTATATTTTCCCCAGGTATTCAATCAATCCTTTATTCCATACACAAATGTTAAAATATATTACAAAGATGAGACTCAAGGTACAGCCAATTTACTCTTAATTACAGAATAAATAAATGAACTCTTTGGCTAAATTATTTTTAAAAAAAAAACTAAACCAAATTAGGAGCAATTTTTTTTTTTTGCATTTTGTAAGGCATGTTGCTAACTACATAACACATTCAATGAGAAAAGGTGTACCACATATGTGTGGTATTATGTTCAGTAGGACAAGCCTAGGACTGGAAAATGAGCTTCCAAATAAGTTCGATGCCAATGTCTTCAAAATTCTGTTGGAAAATAGACTAAAATTACCTGACATAATATAATGTCAAATATAATGAGCACAATAAATCTTCTGTTCTGTAATTGTACATTCATTCAAATTAACAAATGCATTTTGAGCTGCCTAGGGCAAGGCACCCTTCTAGGCAACCTGAGGAATGTCAGAGTGAAAAAGACAGGGTAACTATTCGGGAGTGAGAAATGCACAAAGACTTTTATGAGTATCTTTAATAAAAAAAAAAAAAAGGAATGAGAAAATTTACACTGATTGTCATGGTGAACACAGCTTTAGCAAGAATGAAATACATGTATTACATTTTAAAAGCTGAATAGGAAATAGAAAGTATAACACTCCAGGAATAGAGACTATAAAAAGCAAAGGAAATAGAAGGATTCTCAGGATATCACAAGTACTTAGTGTTATGAGGACAGTGGTAGATTGAGGACTGAAATAAGATCTCATTGAGTACAATGAAGGTCATGGAAAGGATTTTCGGCAAAAATAACAAATTAAGACAAAAAGAATAAAATGTAATGATAAAATGGACAGAAATTGGTGACTTGTGCTAGACATGAATGATGCCTTTAGGAGGTAGCACACAGTTAGCAGGCAGGAAAATATCTTTTGTTTTGAGAGCATCTTAAGCCATGCAAACAATAAACAGCACAATTAATGCAACCAAACCACAATGTTCTCACTGTGTGGTCTCTCTTGCTGATTCCTGATCGTTCACCCTCACATTCATAGCTGTGGTTATGGACGGCAGGAGAGGCGCTTGCTGCTTTACATCTCACGCTCTGCACCTGTCTCTGACTTTGGCTCTCGCTGTGGGGAACAGATCCAAGTCCTCTGAAGACATCCCACCTTGAGTGCATTCGATGCTTCTCCCTGTTATTCTTTCTGGGGGCCTGCTCCAAGTCTCTGTAAGATTCTCAGCCCAAGTACAAATGGGCTGGAAGTTCTGAGGAGTCAACACCACTGGAAGCAACCCTCAACCAACTGGGAAGGGAGCTGCTGGATAAAACCCCAGCCTCCCTCCATTGGCCAGGCAATGCTGGAAGGCATTATATGCCTTCTCAGTGGTCCTGAAGCTCCTGTTGCTATAGTGGCAACCTCAATAGCATATCCTTTCCTCCTTCCCTGCCTGTTCTCTTACCCTTCATGGCCTCATACAATTGCTTCTTGGTTCCGCTTCCCAAGTCAACTGCCTGTAGTAAGGTCCCAGTCTCAGGATCTGCTTTCTGAAGACGTCAATATAAAATTGACATGTTTATCTGGTGTTAATGTTGTTTGGTTACATACCAAAAGTAACAGACTCCAGTGTTTTACATAAACCACCCATTGAAGATCACACTTTGCCCTTCTGCTTTGCACACCACTGGGTTTGATTCTGCCCTTGGATTATGGTGACTATGAAAGAGGCATGACTCTAAGATGGAACTAGAAACACATATAGGGACAAGACATAAGGGCCTTGAATGCTATGCTAAATAATTTTCTTTTATGTTCTAACATGTTCATATGGGATATTTTTCACTTAAATTACACTGTCATTTATATCTCTATAAATACCTAAGCAGGCTCTATCTTATTTATTTCCATATTATTTTGCTGTCCAAAGGAATAACTCATCCCTTTCCCTTAGGTGATAGACAAAAACTTTAAAGAAGCCAACATGCCAATGTAGAAATGAGAAAACCTTAGAAGCTGCAAAACCAAAATTTGAAGTTAGCGGGAGGCCGACAGGAGTTAAAGGTACATGTATTTTTTAATAAATACCTGGATGAAAGACGTCAGGCACAAAACCAAACTGAGGGGCTTTCCATGTTTCTCACTACAATTTAATAAAACGATTTGAGACATCAATTTTTCTATCTCCCACTGATGTAAGTGGTTTGGGATCTCAAATAAAAATAATATATTTCTCTACCATTGAAACCCCCAAGTGAAAGCTGTATGAGAAAACTGTAAGAAATCCCAGTCCCACACCGCCCGTCACCACCAAGTAAGGGAACAGAGAGAATCAAACTGTCAATGGACAGAGGAAAGAAGAGAAAGTATTTTAGAAAAGAATCATCCCTAGGGAACTAGGACAATTTATATTTGTGTATATTAATGGCATTTTAATTTTAAGTCAAATGGTAAAATATAACTTTCAAAACTCAATTGATTACTAGGAACTAAATTACCTAACAATTAATTCAGTATATACATTCTATGTCAATTCAATGGGACTTGTATCTTACGGATACTTAATATTATTTGATGATGAGAAGGAGGTATAAATCCTACTCTTTTTTTTTTCCCGAGTGTGGCACTGGTATTACCAACACGAAGAAGAGATGGATATAGCAATTCAGCAACTCAGCAACTAAAGAATTAATCAAGTTCTAATTTTGTTTGTTTGTTTCTTTTTACCAGAATTCTGTTTTATTTGACATATTTTAAATCCTTACTTTGGCATTTAAGAAATAGATACGTTTTATTCTCAATATACACACATAACATTTTTAACTTGCCTTTAATGAAACTAAATGTGTGTTTCACTCTGAATAATACAATAGATGTGGAATAAATTCATTGTTTCAAAAATTTAAGGAAGTAAAGGAGGTTTAAAAATCTTCCTCCCTTATTAAGAATTTCAATAGGTATGCATTTCTCAAATCAATAATGGGAAAGGAGACTGAAGGAAGATTAATATTTAAGTTATAAAAACATGCCTAATAAATAATAATAAGAAATAAAATAATTTATGGCAGTAAAATCAGGGTATTAGGCACTGGAAGTTCTGAAGGTGAACTTACAAATTTGGGCTGAGGTTGAATAGATGTGGGCTCAAATGTTGGCTCTACCAAGTAGGTGGTTGCTGTTTGCAAATTGACTCACCTGAGAAATAGCGATAACACTATGGCATTATTTCTTGTTTTAGGGATAAAAACAAATAATGTAAGGACTGCAGTTGATAGAGAGCTTTGGAAAGCATTTATTAAATGAGACATGTCATAAATACCCTTTTAAGGATTCAAAATGCAGTGGGAAGAGAACTACTGGCTAAATATGATCACTGCTATAATAGAAAAACATGCTATGAGTGCTTTGGGAAGAAAACGATTAATTCCAGCTGGTGAAAAATGCAAAGGTTTCATTGGAGAAATAGTATTTATGTTACTCTTGAACTTCCTCAGTGGATTAGGGGTTAGGTAGGGGAAACAGGGGGAGCCAGGAAGGCACCAAGTTGAATAAGCCATATATTCAAATACACATGTGTGTTTGGAGGTAGGGAGAACAGTGATGGAAAACTTGGTGAATAGTAGGAGACTTTTTTAGTCAGAGAACAGGTTAATGCACTGCTGTGGTGAGGAAGAAGAACTGAGAAAGCGAGTGGAAGGGGAAGGAACGTTAAGGATTATGGGGATTAAGTTGGAGCCAAATTACAGAGAATCTGGAACACCATGCCAAGGACTTTGGTCTTTGTTCCCAAGTCACAGGGCAAGAGGGTTGAAACAAATAAACACTAAGTCACCTCCTAGGACATTTCATCTTGTTGCCCCAAAATGTATAATTTGCTTCTCCCTGGATATGTCTAAGCAATTTATCTCATTACTCACAGAGGAAATTCAATGATTCTTTGAACCAAAGTTAAAATGTTTCTGTGTTGCTGATTGACAAGCCCTGGGTAAGCAAGGGGAGTAGGATGAATGGGCAGCAAGATGGATTCTGTTTTATTTTTAACTAAAAACCAACACATCTATAACAAGAGATGAACATTACATATTCTAAAGAAAAACATTTCAAGGGTAGTAGCTTTCTCCTTCCTGTGTGAAAGAGTTAAGATGCTTAAACCAAACTGCTGGATAAATTTTGCAAGAATAGGAAGAGGTGGAGATGACTCACATTGCTGTTTAAACTCGTTTTTATTTTTTGCCCGAAGCACAAACATCAAGATAAAAAGTGAGGTCCTGGGAGGGCAAATAAGGATACTGAGAATGAATCATAGCAACTACCTCACTGACAGTGAAGACCATGGATGAGTCTAAAGACAGCTCCCAATGAGCCCACCCCTTCCCATGTACTCATGCCACTTCTCCCATGAGAGACATTGCTTCTCCTTGCTCCTGTTAACCTGGGGCCGGGCTGGTGACTATTTTAATCTATATTATGTGGAGGAAACAACATTCTAGTGACTTTGGAGCTCAAGCATTAAGAAGGCCTAGTAGCTTCCAGGCCTTTCCTGGAGCGCAGAAACATCATGTAGGAAGTCCAGGTTACCCTGCTGGAGAAGCCACAAGAAGAAGGCCTAGGAGATTAGACACTGCATTGAGAGAGGAAAGAAGAGGCATTGAGGCCTCAAATACCCAGCTCTGAGCCCAGACATAACTATCATTGGACTTCCACTACATGGGAGACCACAGTAAAAACACCATAGAAGTGGCCCTGCTGACCCCCAGCCAATCTGTGGAATCCTGAATATAATAAAACTAGAGGCCCAATGCACGAAATTCATGCAAGAGTAGGCCTTTCTTCCCCTGGCTGCTGGCATTGTCTTCCCTCCGGCCGCTGCAGGCACCTGGGACCTGGGCTTCCCTCACAGCCCCAGCTTCATCTGGAAGGTTGTCTGAAGGGACGTCCAGAAGGATGTCTGGTCTAATTAGCATATTATGCTTTTATTATTATAGAGGGTTGCTATCATTTGTGGTGGTTTGTTCAGCAGCAATACTCACCCAAAACAATAAGGATGTTGACCTGTTAAACCACAAGAAACTTTCATACCTTTGGAACACAGCGATTGTCTACAAGCTGGGAACATTCCCTTTCTATGAGAAAGAGAATTAGTAACCCTCATACTCTTTCTATATCTTACTGACAATAGTGAGGTAGAAACACAAGTAGGATTATAAGATAAATACAAGCCCTGACTGGTTTGGCTCTTGCTCAGTGGATGGAGCGTCAGCCTGCAGACTGAAGGGTCCCAGGTTCGATTCCGGTCAAGGGCATGTACATTGGTTGTGGGCACATACCCAGTGGAGGGCTTACAGGGGGGCGTGCAGGAGGCAGCTGATCGATGTTTCTCTCTCATCGATGTTTCTAACTCTCTATCCCGCTCCCTTCTTCTCTGTAAAATATCAATATATTTTTTTAAAAAGATAAATACAAGATTCCTGGTTAAATTTGAATTTCAGATAAACACAATTATTTTGTAATATAATTGTGTCCCATGCAATATATGAGACACACTTATACTAAAATATATTTGTTGTTAATCTGAAATTCAAATTTATCTAGGCATTCTGTGCTTTTATTTGCTAAATCGAATCACTATACATGCAGGAATTGCTTTATCTTTACATTACAAAATGATTCCAAAGCTTTGGAGATAATAAACGTAGATTAACTCTTTGTGCATGACTCCATTGAAGGCATAGAGGGATCAGACAGGAATGAAAGACAAAATCTCTGATAGCTCCTAGGAACAACTTTTCCAAGTCTGAGGAGGAGCAGATGGGGTAGAAATCCCGAAGAAGACCGAGAATAGAAGCCAAGCAACCAACAGAGAGGATGGCCCTGGGGTTAACAGTTCCTGAGTCCAGTGTAGATTCTGACCTGATGTAAGTGCAATGTCCCTTCCTCCTTAGAGGGATCACCTGGCCACACTGGCTTGTTTCTCCTCTACATCGTAAGACAGGTTGTGCTAAGTTCCTTCCAACTCTTGCATTCCATAATTCTGAGTGCTGACAGTAGAAACAGAATTCACATTAAGGACATAAAGTTGAGATCTGGGATTTTTCCCATGCTTCAAAATTGTGTTTTACACAGCTAATATCAACTGGCTGGGGATCCCTATTTATTCCTTTTCCAAATCTATTTCTGGATTAAAGGATTTCTCAGGTCATTTTACTAAATCTTCCCATTAAAGTACAATAATATATTGCATTAAAAGCTTAGGGTGGAAAGCTTCAGGCCCTCTTTTATGAGTTAATGGTGACCAAGTTAGCATTGTGCATGAAAAAAGAACTCTGGTTTTTATATAGTGGGAAGGAATGGAAAGCAAGTGTCTTAAAAAATAGCAAGGTCTTCATCTTTCTGGAGAAAAAATTAATTTTTGCATTATACTGCACTTCTCAATTATAGAATGAAATCCTTTCTAATCCCAGGCTCCTGATGACCCAAGTTTGAAAAGTACCCTTAATTTAAACAGAAACTAACTCGTGGCGCATCCTGAAAAGATCTGGAAGGAGTAACTGGTAAGGTGTCTGAATGACTAGCTGTTTGCTGTAAGCATGTGGATGATAAACTCAGCTTCTAATGTGATAGGTCAATTCACCAACATCCTCTAAAAATTGACTATAAACAAGGCCCTGATAGGGATTTCATTTAATCCTCACAGTCCTGCTCTGTATTATTTATTTTATTTTATAGGTTCAGAGAGGCTCAGAAAATAAAATCTGTCCCCAAGATCACACAGCTGATGAAAGTAGAGTCAGCATGCAAATGTAACTCTGACTAATAATAAGGCACACACTTTCTTCTCCATTATGTTTGTCACAAAAACAGTTCAGGTATGTGAACATAGAACAGCTATATTTATTGTTCTTGTTTTGTGTTCTAAATTAATTTTAAAAGAATAAAACAAGATATAAATATTCCAGCAATGGAAAAAGGACTCATTTTGCATGGTGTTTCTGTCTCCAAGTCTCTCTCTTTCCTTACCTGTCTTCGAAGGTCTCTTGTCTTCTTGCACATGTTGTCTATTGCAATATTCAGGGTATTACTCCTTTCCTTTTTTCCGGTCTGCAAGGGAGAGAGAAAAATGACATAAGTAATGATATGAAATTACTCTTTAGCACTTAACAATTTGCCTTCTAAATTTTCTGAAAATAACAGCTTGAAAATTCAAGAATAGGTTTAAAATTCGCTATGATATTGCATATGATTCATAAGCACTTCACATAAGACTAAGTAGAACGGTGATTAAAACACATTATTTTCTTCTTTAAGCATCTGTAATAGGTCTGATACATGGTTGGGTTTCATTCATGGTGGCAGTAGGCAGAGCATTACCTCCCAAAACTGTGATCTTCATATCGACTTTTTAACAGCTAAGCATACAATTAACTTAAAAGCATTAGATGCTCAAATTGTCAACTTCTGTGGGAGTTTCTGAAGTCATTTTGATGGTGTATTGTGTAAGTTATGCAGAACTATACTGGAGTTTTGCTAAACACTAAATAAAATATGCAGTGCAAATTCATACAATTTGCAGAAGTTGACCACAATTTCAGCTGACAATATTCCAAGAACAAACTGTTTCAAGTTCTTAAGAACTGGAAGCTGTTTTTTTGGCTCTTTAAGATAATTTGTGCAATACCTATTCGTTCTTCAAGCAGAACAATTCTCTATGTTATATCCTTAACCTAAATCTTCAGGCTATTAAGTACATGGAGAGTCACCTTGGTTGGTATTTTCTACATATTACTTTTGTGGGAGACAATCAAAATTGAATCTAATCATACTTTCTTCAGCCATATCATGTTTAAAAGAGATTGAGAAAAATTACTATGTGATTCACCTCTAGAAAATTGCTACTATTTAAATTAATAAACTGAAAGGGCTTTTGAGAGGAGACCTTGAACATCAGGAAGGCAAGTTTAAACAGCTGATAACTGAGGAAGTTTATAGCATGGACTTGAGAAAGGACATTGAGGCGAAGTCTAGACCATTAGGCAGGATACTGTATCCTACCTCCAATACATAAATCCATACCATCAAGTCGAAGGACTTCTTTACAGGAAGCTCAAGACCATCTATACTCTATCCTAACCTATCTTTTCAGTCTTAGCTTCCACCACATATTCTTAAGTTCTGTCCTCTATAGTAATAATATTCCAATATTTTTCTATGTCTTTTTTTCCATATTCTTTCATATAATGTACCTTTGACTTCAGCAAATGTCTCTTCAAATAGCCCCCTATTAAAATCCTACCTATTCTCCAATGGTTTCAACAGAGACTTCCCAGCAATCTACGCAAAAGGAAACTCTCACCTGTCCTTGTTCCCATAGCATTTTGAAAATTTTCCAATATACTCATTTTGTTTCTGTGCATAATCATTACCCTTACAAAACTTGTTAGGATTGTGATGTTGGCAATGTATTTTTTTTTCTATTTCTGAAAGTAACTTGCATAGGACTTATTGAATGGTACTGACTAGTTTGTAAATGAACAACTTGATTCAAAACACAGCATAGTTTTATTAGGGGCCTGCTATATGCCAGGAAGGTGTCCTACTAAATTCTGGAGGAGACTTTAATATCTACCTATCAAGGAACAGTGAAAATTCTCTATTGGCTGAGGTTTCTGGTACCCACCTAAACCTTTAGTTAGATCTAGATTTTTCTCAGCAACAGTGTTACTGATATTTAAGATAGGGAAATCACCATAATTTGAGGCCACACTCTATACACTGCAGGATGTTTGGCATCCACGCACCCCTGTCTACCAAAATCTACCAGTAACTCCCTGGCACTATGATAGCCAAAGTTTGACCCCACACATTTCCAGATGCCTCCTAGGGGGAGACACTATAGAGAACTACTACATCCTTTAACACCTTTATTTTTGAAAGAAGGTGTGAAATGTGTGCATGATGGAGATTGTGTCCAGTGAAGAAACAGGGAAGAAGACAAAGAAGGAGATAAGTGAAATTCTGGATGTTGAAATAATAAGAGCAACAGTGACAATTACTTAGATAAAAGTGTGGCTACCTTTCCAGCTCCAACCAGAATTATCCATACTAGCAGTGAAAAACTGTGAAAAGCTAATGCAGGGCTGTACAAGGCCATGGCATAAACAGATACACAATGGTATATAAGACAATTGGTAATTTCACCTAAAGAACTTAGCTCTTCTTCTCCAGTTCCATGCACTGCTAGCTCTACTGGAAAGGGTCTCTTTCCACTTCATGAAGTTAGAGATAGTCAAAAGGGGCAGGAGTGGTACAAAGAGAACCGCCACCACCACCACACACACACAGGGTATCAGGAATAATATGAGCGACTTCTGTTGTGTTGGCCATAAAAACTCCCTAGCTTCTGCAATATGATTCATCAGAACAACTACAAAATGCCAGCCTGCATGGAGAGAGCAGCAGTGGCACGCAAGCTTTAATAAAGAATAATAGGAGGCGACAGCATGAAAAGATTCAAAATGGACTATAAAGATGATTTCTTAATTTCTACCCAGAGCTGAATCTTAGTTTAAAATGTTTCACTGGGTCAAAGACATTTTGTTCTCTAGGTACTAATAAACAGTCCCTGTCATTATACGAAGTAAAGTCTTCCTTCTTTCTTCCCTTTCCCTCTTCTCCTTCTCCCCATATCTTTCTTCCTTTTTCCACCTCCAGCTTTTTTATTGGGTTCTTGCTCTATTTATCCAGATTTATTGGGCTTCCATCAAGCCATTGAATGCTTTTATTCCTTTTGCATGGCATAAAAATAAATAAAGCAAGGAGAAATTGCCCCATCCTGCTTAAAAGCCCTCATTCCTTCTGTTTTCAAAGCCTTCACAAATCATCAAGCAATGAGCTAGGACTGAAGGTAAATTGCGTGTGCCGAGGTAAGGGATGGAAAGGGCACAACACAGATAACAGACAGAGCCTCTCTACATCCCAGGTACTCATCAGAGTGGATGCTCCTTAAAGAAAGCCCTGACAGGAGCCATCATTAAGTCAGCACAGCCCGGCTAATGGAAAAGGCACCACATACAGTGGAAAGCCAGGGGGAAAGACGCTGTGAAAATATGGCATGGATCAGCACTATATAGAGAAAGCAATCACATTACCTATCAGTAAATAAACTGCCAGGAAAGATTTTATGAAAAAGAACAGTTTTGAGCATAAACTTCATTCAATAAAATTTTATTAAAATTATTATCGCGTATTATATATAAGTCCCAATGTTATTGAGGCTTATAATCTTTGCTATGTGTCTTTCCATCAATTCTGCCTCGCCATTGCTCTCATGTCACTGCTACAGGTAATTGCAACTCTCTTGTATGGTTCCCTTGAAGCTGCCCACACCTTTAGAAAAAGTCCAATTATAAATAAACTCTCTTTGAATTATCCTAATTGGAGTGTTCCATCTGTTTCCTGTTGGGACTCTGTTGGGAGAACTTTCTATTCTATGTTGTCCAAAATGGTAGCCACTAAGTCACATGTGGCTATTTAAATTTAAATTTTAATTAATTAAAACTAGGTTTCATTAAAAATTCAATCCATCAGTCCTTAATTTAAAGTGAGCATTAGACACATGTGTGTAATGACTACTATATTGTACAGCAAAAATATAGAACATTTCCCTCATCTTAGAAAGATGTATTATACAGCAATATTTTAAAATATATCTATTTTATTTCAGTTGTATAAATGAGTCCCTACCTTTATACAAACCATCCTTTATTTGAGAACAAAATAGCAATAAACAGACACAAACCCCAACCCTCCAAGGTGTTTACTCTCTAGTAAACGCGAGGTCTAATAATGACCATTCTTTGTTCTAAAGCCCTTCGTTCTATTCCCACTGCCGATGGATTTAAGAACAAACTCTTGATCATGGTGACCAAAGTGCCACATGATCTACTCTAAATTTTACTCAACATTAATTAATGAAATAATAGAATGGGTCCTTTATTTTCTAGGCAGTAAAATAACAACTCAGGAATGGCACTTGTGGAAAAACTTCATTTTGCACTCTTGTCCTCTCTTTGGAGTATAGACTTTTTTTTAAAGATTCAACTCAACTGCTAAATTTCACATGGAGTCTTTGTTGATCTTCTCAGTTGAAATTCACTATTCTCTTCCATGATACCTTCCTAAACATTTTTTTATATTTCTTTTATAACAGTTCAATAAACAGTTCAATCTATTTAAGAAATCTTTATTGCCGAGACCGGTTTGGCTCAGTGGATGGAGCGTCGGCCTGCGGACTGGGGGGTCCCGGGTTCTATTCTGGTCAAGGGCATGTGCCTGGGTTGTGGGCACGTCCCCAGTGGGAGATGTGCGGGAGGATCTTTATTATCTACTATATTCCAGGCACCGTAGTAAGGACCAATGATACATTAGATCTAATGCAGTGGTTCTCAACTTGTGGGTCACGACCACTTTGGGGGTCGAACGACCCTTTCACAGGGGTCGCCTAAGACCATCAGAAAACACACATATAATTACATATTGAATTTGTGATTAATCATTTTGCTTTAATTATGTTCAATTTGTAACAATGAAAATACATCCTGCATATCAGGTATTTACATTACAATTCCTAATAGTAGCAAAATTACAGTTATGAAGTAGCAAAGAAAATAATTTTATGGTTGGGGGTCACCACAACATGAGGAACTGTATTAAAGGGTTGCGGCATTAGGAAGGTTGAGAACCACTGATCTAGTGCCTGCCTTTGAAGAATACTCATCTAGTGGTAGAAACAGACATAAACACAGTATTAGTAGAGGTACTAAGGGTAACATATATATCAGTAGGAGAAGCCCCCCACTCCCCATTAAGAATGAAGGTATCAAATGAGTATTGAAGGATATGTTGAAATCAGCCAAGAGAGGCAGGCAGAGAAGGCCACTTTAGGGGGACAGGGATAGCTTTAGCAATGGCAAAAGTCCTTATGGAATACTTAGAAACTAGTATAAAAACTAAGAGGGGAGGCAAGATTTTGGAGATTTCTGCCATATTAAAAAAAATTGAGCCTTTAGGCAATTGGGAGTCATAGAAGTTAAGCTGATGAG